AAGGAGAAAACAAAGGCTCCCCGGGAAGTGAAGGCTGGGCCCTCGGTAGGCTTGACAGCCACACAGTCTCTAGAGTGGAAGGCTCCTTCCTCAGAGCACAGTCCTGGAGGGTCACAGCTGTTGCCCTAGCCTGGCAGGATGAGTTTGAGGGGCTCTATGTTGGCAATGGGGACTGTCGTGCCCCGATTCCTTTAGGATTCACAGGCCAGAGTGGTGGCTGTAGCCTAGTCCTCACTGCCAGAGACCCCACACCACAGTGGAGCCTGCACCAGGCACAGAGGCCGGAGGCAGAGCCGTGCTTGCCCCTTTCTGCCATCCCTAGGATGCTACAGGTAGCCTCCTCCCAGCATGCTGGCAGGTGTGAGAAGAAGGAACTTTATTTGATGTAGCTACACCCCTGCTTCCCCCTCAGCCTTCGAATTCCTTCCCACTTACGTCCCCTGCTACGGGTCCACATGAGGGGCTTCTCACCCCGAGGCTGCCTCTACAGTGTCCACTGGACAACCTGGCCACCGCAGCCCCAGACTCAGATCACAAGGCCAGGATGGGCATAGGATGCTTTGACCCTTCCAGTGCAGCAGGGGCCTTTTGATGTGGGTCCAGGCAATGTCCAGCTCTCCTGCCCAGGGCTCCTTCTTGGAGAGTAAATGGGAAGGAACTTTGGAGGGAGCTGTTCTGTAGGGGATGATAAAAAATGGGAATTTAGGAATTTGCGGAAGGCTTTGATGGATGAGGGAGTTAGGTAACAGGCAAAGAAGAAAGGAGGGAACTTTCTTTTTCTATTTTTACACATTTTTTTCCCTCCCTAGGGAAAAAAGTGTGAGCAGAGGTAAAGAGAGAAGAAATGTGAGCCAGGCACGGTGGCTCACGCCTGTAATCCCAGCACTTTGGGAGGCTGAGGCAGGTGGATAACTTGAGGTCAGGCATTCAAGACCAGCCTGGCCAACATGGTAAAATCCCGTCTCTACTGAAAATACAAAAATTAACTGGGTGTGGTGGTGTGTGCCTGTAATCCTAGCTACTCAGGAGGCAGAGGCAGGAGAATCACTTGAACCCAGGAGGCAGAGGTTGGAGTGAGCTGAGATCTCCCCACTGCATTCCAGCCTGGGCGACAGAGCGAGACTCCGTCTCAAAAAAAGAAAAGAAAAAAGAAAGAAAAGTGAAAAATTCCTTTTATTCCATTTCTGGCCAATATCACTGTTTTCCCCAATCATTCCAGACTTCTGGGCATTTCCCTGCATAGTACATGTATATACCCAGGGGGATGATGTCAAGATCTTTGTTTTGCTTTGATTTTACATGAAGGGGATCATGCTGACCACATTGCTTTGCAGCTTTCCCCCCATAACTGTATATCCTGGACATTTTCTCATGTCAACAAAAATAGAACATCCTCTTTTTTTTTTTTTTTTTCTTTTTTCTAGAGATGTGGTTTCACTCTTGCCCAGGCTGGAGTGCACTAGTGCAGTCAAATAGCTCACTACAACCTCAACTTCCTGGGCTCAGGCAATCCTCCTGCCTCAGTCTCATGAGTAGCTGGGACTACAGGTGCTCACCACCACACCTGGCTATCCTCTTTTTTTTTTTTTTAGCCTCTACCTAATATTCCATGCATGCCTGTAACACAGTTAATTCAACCACGCCCCTCCCACTCCCACCCTCACTCAGGGTCCCAGCTCTAGGGGACATGGGTCAAAAGGTTTTCACGGTAAATGGTGCCTCTGCACAATTCCAGGGGATGCCACCCACACCCAGAATGCAGCAGCCTGCCTGATGAACAGATAAGGCGGCTCCAGTTTTTACCATACAAACAATTCTGCACCGAGCATGCTCACTCATGTCTCTTTGTGCACATGTGTGAGTGGTTCTCCAGGCATTGATGCTTCAGGGTGGAGCTGGCGGTCAGAAGTGCATGCGTCCTGCATTTCGGGGACCCTGCCATGGTGTGGGAAGGCAGCCTGGGGTTCCTAAGCCCCCTCAGCCTCTGCTGACCCAGGTTGTCTAGCATATATCCATCATGTGGCTGCCGGCTGGGCCACTGCTTCCAGGAAATTGATTGCAAAAACCTGCGATTGTCAGTGGCTCACACACTGGAGGCCATCCAGGGAGTAGATTAAATTGTATGAGAAAATAGTACAGGGCTCAAGACCGCTCCTAATGGAGACCCCTCAGTGACCTTTCTGGAGAAGTTAAAAGAACACAGGCAGACACACTCTCACCCTTGCTCACCCACCCGCTAGCCTGCCTGCCAGGAGCATAGCCCCTCTGCCATTGGAGGAGCCGCGCCTCATTAGCAGGAAATGGGAGGCCTGGTCCAGGGCCCAGGCTGCCTGTGCACGACAAGGAGGCCAGCAGGGGCACCTGCTTCCCTGCAGGGTGGACCCAGGTTGACCAACAGGCCTTAGCTGCTCAAGGACACTGAGCCCCCTTCTCCTCCATGCTAGCCCTCTTCTACTTCCCATGCAGGTACCACTGTAGACCCCTGCTCTGCACCCCCAGGAGGAGTGGGACTGCTTCAAGAGCAGCCTGGAGGAAAGAGGTATGGTGTGGACACATACAACATGTTCCTTAACCACAAAGGCGACTGGAGTCTTTACCCGGTTTCAAAGCAGCCAAGCCTAGAGGCCCCCACTCCTTGTTCTTTATTAGAATTGCCCTTTGACCCCAACCTCCCAATTCTTTCCTCTCCAGATCCCCAGCCATGCATACCCCAACCTGGTCCTACAAAGAATACCCAGCTACAGTTGTGAACTTATGGAAACACATTCATTTTCTTTCTTTCTTTCTTTTTTTTTTTTTTTGAGAGGGAGTCTCACTCTGTCACCCAGGCTGAGGTGCACTGGCGTGATCTTGACTCACTGCAACCTCCACCTCCCAGGTTCAAGCAATTCTTCTGCCTAAGCCTCCCGTGTAGCTGGGACTACAGGCGTGCACCACCACGCCCAGCTAATTTTTATATTTTTAGTAGAGACGGGGTTTCACCATCTCTGCTGGCGAGATGGGGTTTCACCATCCGCTGGCCAGGCTGGTCTCAAACTCACGACCTCAGGTGATCTGCCCGCCTTGGCCTCCCAAAGTGCTGGGATTACAGGTGTGAGCCACCGCACCTGGTCTATTTTTTTTTTTTTAAGATAGGGTTTCGCTCTATCACTCAGGCTAGAGTGCAGTAGTGCGACTGTGGCTCACTGCAGCCTTGACCTCCTGTGCTCAAGCAATCCCCCCGCCTCAGACTCCCATGTAGCTGAGACCACAGTTGTGCACTACCACACCTGGCTAATTTTTGTATTTTTTGTAAAGATAGGGCTCTTGCCATGTTGAACTAACCAGGCTAGTCTTAAACTCCTGGCCTCAAGCAATCCTCCCAAGGTGCTAGGATTATAGGCTTGAGCCACCATGCATGTGCACGGCCAGCACATACATTTTCTGTTTTTTTTTTTTTTTTTTTGAGACCGAGTCTGGCTCTGTGGCCCAGGCTGGAGTGCAGTGACGCGATCTCAGCTCACTGCAAGCTCCAGCTCCCGGGTTCACACCATTCTCCTGCCTCAGCCTCCCGAGTAGCTGGGACTACAGGCGCCTGCCACCACGCCCGGCTAATTTTTTGTATTTTTAGTAAAGATGGGGTTTCACCTTGTTAGCCAGGATGGTCTCGATCTCCTGACCTCATGATCCGCCCGTCTCGGCCTCCCAAAGTGCTGGGATTACAGGCTTGAGCCACCGCGCCCGGCCTCAGCACATACATTTTCTATACACAACTGTCTCCCAGCTCTCCAGGCCAACTTACCTGATAGTGATAAAAATAACTAAGCTCCTGTGGATTAGGCAGTGTGCCAAGTGCTCTGTGTATATTACCTTAGTTTTCACAAACTCTATGAGGTAGGTACCACTATTATTTACAGGTGAGGAAATGGAGGCTCAGAGAGGTTAAGTGAATCGATCTAGGCCACACAACTGGTAAGCACCAGAGCCACCAGTGGCGGCCAGATCCAGCCAGCCCCCAGAGCCCATGTGCTGAGCCACTGTGCTATACTGACTCCCACTTAATTCTCTCTTCTGGGCTGTCCCAAAGACCAAGTTCGGCTGGCCAATTTCCTAGGGCCACCTCTCATGGCACCTGGAGCCTTGTAGGTTCCTGGAGAACCCTCACACCACCTTCCCACCCTTCTCCAGATTCTCCAGCTCCCTCTTTAGCAGACCCAGCCCCACTCTGGGGCACCCTGCCTTCCCGGGACCTGTTGTTACAGTCACCCACTCTGGCTGCCAGGGCCTGGCCGGTCCATCCTGGGGACCGTGGGACCCCTCTGGGCAGTGCCTCCCTACCTGGGCCCAGGTGGGTATGGATTTCTTTCTTCTGGGCCATTGCACCCGCCAGAAGGCACGGTGGGAGAGGCAGGCCCACATTTCAGAGGGCCTTGCTGCCCCCATGTGGCATGAGGCTGTAGCGGCTGCAGCCTCTTCCCTCCCTCCTGCCACTGCTCCCAGAGCCAAAGCTCTTGCAGGGGAAAAGGAAGAGAAAGGAAGCAGGAATGTGAGAGAAATGAGAAAGAGGGATGGGCTAGGGAAGAGGGAAGCCCTTCTGCATTACCTGGAAATGCAGCAACAACAATAACAAAGTCAATGGTAAGAATAAGTTTAAAGGCAGCTGCCACGCAGCACTTTTTATAGCTTGTAGATTCTTTCATTTAATCCTGGCACATCAATCTGATCTATTATTAGTTTTATAGGTGATGATCCAAGGCTCAATTATTTATTTATTTATTTTATTTTATTTTATTTTATTTTATTTTTGAGATGGAGTTTCGCTCTTGTTGCCCAGGCTGGAGAGCAATGGCGTGATCTCGGCTCACCACAATCTCTGCCTCCCGGGTTCAAGTGATTCTCCTGCCTCAGCCTCCCAAGTAGCTGGGATTACAGGCATGCGCCACCACCCCGGCTAATAATTTTGTATTTTTAGTAGAGATGGGGTTTCTCCATGTTGGTCAGGCTGGTCTTGAACTCCCGACCTCAGGTGATCCGTCCGCCTTGACCTCCCAAAGTGCTGGGATTACAGGCTTGAGCCACCGCGCCCGGCCCCAAGGCTCGATTATTTATTCCTCAGCTAGTAGGTGACAGAGCCCAGATCCAATCTGACCCCAGAACCCTAACCACGATATTCCCCTATCTAGAAGGAGCCAGTTCTCTCCTGCCACCCCCACTGCTCAGCCTCCCGGAGTTCCAGCCACCAGCCATCTGCACCCTCCCCTCCATGTGGCATTGCCCTCTGTTCTCCTGTCCCCTCTCTCCAAGGTCCAAGTGGTCAAGGTCATCCCAAGGGTCTGCTGGGACCATGTGTCCTTATTCTGTGCCTTGCTGGTCACCAACCTTCCCCATCTGCCAAGGACCGATGTCCAGCCCAGGCCCAGGGGCAGGTGTCCAGGTCATTTTTGCCACTGAGGAAAGGGAGACAGAATGACAGGGTAAATTACCAACCACCAGAACACCATGGCGCCAATAGCATCAATGCAAGTGAAGTATATTTATCTGTTGGCCTGAAAACATGTCCTAGTATATTGTTCCATTAAGAAAAAAGCAGGTTATAAAGCTGTGTACAGCAAGAAACATTTTATAAGTGAAACAAAAGTATTCTCTGTTTCTATGCAGAGAAAAAGGATATTTGCCAAGATGTTAACAGACTATTTTTGCTGTCTTCTCTTGGCTTATTTTTGTTTTCTCTTTTTCAATGAACACCAATTAGTCACATGATTTTAAAAAGCAATAAAAATAAACCAATCCCAGACGGATTGTACTTCTTCCTGTCCTCATTTCTACCCCAACGAGTCTCCAAAAAAAAAAGAAAGAAAGAAAAAAAAAATCACAGTGCCACAGGCCCAGACCTTCCCCTCTCCCTCCTGTCATTTTAACAACTCAGTTGGGTAGGGAGCGTCTCTACTTACCCCAGGAGGCCTTCTGAACCTGACTGTTGGGAGAAGCCCACGCCTGGGGGCCTTTTCTCACCGACCATGCCAGGGTCCTGGAGGACATGCCAGAGCTGTCCACAGCATTGCCCCTGCAGGTGATGCTGCCTTCCGAGGGCAAAGCGTTCTGGGACCGGTCGGCCCCGCTCACGTGGATGTGCAGCCCCGGGCAGTGGAACAGTGCAGAATCCCCGCTCCACTGCTGAGGTTACTATGGGCGACATCTTGGCAAAATGAAGAGTGAGGGGGAAGAAATCACAGAAGCTCCTGATCATCCATGAAAGAAAAAGCAATGCCTCAGGACTGGGCTATGCCAGTGCCTTCCAGAAGGCTCTGAAGAAACTGGGAAGGAGATGGGGACTGGCACTTCCTGGGCATCTACTATGTACGTGCCCTTGCAGACGTGATCGCACCCCTCATTACACACCTCCCATGGTACAGATGATGCCACTGAGGCACAGGAGGCACACGTCCACACCAGAGCACATGGGCCTTGACTTCTTGTGTCTCTGCTGCTTAACGTGGTGTCCTGGAAATGTCTCTGCATAGAGACACTGGTATCAGCTGGCAGCGTCTTCTCCCTGTGCAGTACATTGCTCAGACTCCATAGAAGGCCAGCTCCCCTAGAGCCACAGAGACTCCTCCATTCTGGGGCAGGAGTTAGGCACATTCCCAGAAGGGGGCTGCCCGTCCTGAGTCCTTGCTAGTTGAATGATAAAAGTTGCTAATGTCATCCTATCTGCCTTTAAAATAGCAGCCATCAGAAAGGCAGCCCAGAGAGCTGGACTGCAACCCAGCAGAGCCTAAAGGGGGCCTGTAATGTCACCCCGAACCCATCTTCAAATCACACTCCCTGCGGTGGCCAGCCCTAGAGACCTACAAATAAGAGCTCCTGTTCTTGGCAAGCCTCTTACAAGCAGGACAGATGCAGGAATTGGGAGGTAGGTGACCACAGTGTTCTTTCAGCTCCGAGCCCAACCATCTGGGTCACCTTAGCTGAGCTGCTCCTTCATGTCCCCAGCCCTTCAGGTCACACAGCATTGGTGTAGAGAAGGGGTCCAAAGCGTGTTGCCGAAGAATGCTCAGCCCCCTGGCGCTGTGTCTGTACTAAATGGAAGTCTGGTAACAGGTTCCAATTCCCTGAGTATCCTGGTTTGGCTGTACTCAGTCGAAGCGTGATTGATAGCGACATCCTGTGGACACAATAGATAACTGCATCAACTTGGACAGAAGCCGCAAGATGACATCCAACTTCCCTCATTACGTGGAGAGGAGCTGATTGCAATTAATCACACTCGTCATCTTACACAGGGAGCTGTCTTAGAGCTGGGAAAAAAAAAAATTAGAAAAACAACCTTCAAGGCCGGGTGCGGTGGCTCATGCCTGTAATCCCAGCACTTTGGAGGGCCAAGGCGGGTGGATCACGAGGTCAGGAGTTCGACACCAGCCTGGCCAACATAGTGAAACCCTGTCTCTATAAAAATACAAAAAATTAGCCGGGCGTGGTGGCGGGCACCTGTAATCCCAGCTACTAGGGAGGCTGAGGAAGGAGAATCGCTTTAACCCAGGAGGCGGAGGTTGCAGTGAGCCAAGATCACGCCACTGCACTCCAGCCTGGGCAACAGTGCAAGACTCTGTCTCAAAAAACAAAACAAAACAAAAAAACCGTCAAGCCACAGATTTCTCTGCCATCATCCTCCAAGTTACATCTATTTCGTTTAAATTTGTCTCTCTTCAAATATTTGCCTGATACAAGAGTCTAGTGGCCATGGAGGGAAAGTAATGTCAATAGCAATGTTAATAGCAGAAAAATGTAATGGGCAGTTTACTCTTGCCATGAATTTCACATGCATTATCTCATTTAATCTTCCCCAAAACCCAAGGAGGTACATGCTCTTATCCCCAATTTTCAGATGAAGAACCTGAGATATGGTGCACAAGGAAAAGCTAGGTTACAAAACTGGACATTCTGTCACCCACCTGTCTTAGTCCATTTTGTGTTGCCATAACAGGATACCTGAGACTGGGTAATTTGTAAAGAAGAGAGGTTTATTCAGTTCACAATTCTGTTGGCTGGGAAAATCAAAAAGCATGGCCTCAGCATCTGCTCAGCCTCTGGTGAGAGCTGCAACATACAGAAGGTCAAAGGGAGAGTGAACACTTGCAAAGAAGGGAAAACCCAAGGGGCATCCTGGCTTTATAACAACCCACTGTCTTGGGAACAAATCCATTCCTACAAGAATCCAGCCGTGCCAGGGTGAAAACTCACTCTCCACTGCGAGAATGGCACCAAGCCATTCCTGACAGATCTGCCCCCATGACCCAGACACCTCCCACTACGCCCCACCTCCCAACACCCCCACACTGAGGGTCAAATTTCAACATGAGTTTAGGTGGACACAACCATATCCAAACCACAGCAGATTCCATTCTCTTTAATCACCACTTTATGCAACTTCACTGCCTCTTGTGTCTACCTGGCCCACCCCATGCCATGGTAATCCCTCCTTCCTAGGACACTGGAGAAAATTCCACTTCCTGGCTTGAATTCCCCAGACTGAGTACCTCTGAGTCACCCTCTGTGGCAGCAAGGAGGGAGTGGATAGGAGGAGATTTAGGGTTAGACAGGCCTGGGTTGGAGTTCCAGCTCTGTGCCTCGCTGCCACTAGCCATGTGTCCTGGGGCTTGTTCTTGAACTTCACTTTCCTAGATTGCCAAGTGTGGTGCATGAACCCTTGCCTTGAGAGGGTGTTGTGAAGATTAGAGAAATCACTTGCTGCTGAGTAGATGCTCAAGAAGTGAAGGCTCTTCTCATCGGCAAGATGTGCAATTTGACCTTGGGAGGGGCCAGCCTGGAGATTTCAGTAGGTGTCAAATTCTGATCTAACCTGTTTAGAAAACACCACTACTAAGAAGGGCCAGAGGCGGGCGGATCACCTGAGGTCGAGAGTTCAAGACCAGCCTGACCAACACGGAGAAACCCCATCTCTACTTAAAATACAAAATTAGCAGGGCATGGTTTTGCATGCCTGTAATCCCAGCTACTCTGGAGGCTAAGGCAGGAGAATCACTTGAACCCAGGAGGCAGAGGTTGTGGTGAGCCAAGATCACGCCATTGCACTCCAGCCTGGGCAACAAGAGTGAAACTCCATCTCAAAAAAAGAAGGGCTAGGATTCAGATGGAGGAGAAGGCCAGCCTTCTTGTCCTGAGGCTTATGATGTTTCAGAGGGGCTTGCTGATATATCAGGGTTCAAAGGATCTCCAAAGGGAGTTATTTAGCTAAGATGGCAGGGCAGAAACAAGATTCCAAGACTCTGTACCCTGCCTTTCGATAGAGAAATTATTATCCAAAGAGTAGTATCCCAGCAGGATTCAAGTCCATGCCTCCAGGTATCTTCAGAGACCCTGGTACCATGAGCCAGCCTCTGTGTCGTTCAGGAAGCACAAATTCAAGACTCGAAATGGGGTGTCTGGATCCTAGTTTCAGCTCTACCTCCCACTGTTCTTGCAGGCTCTTGAACTTGGTCCTCTTCTTGCCTCTTCAGGGTCACACCACTGAATGCTTCTCTTCTCAGTGCCTCAGTGATGTCTCTCTTTTCCCTTCTCTGCAAAGCAGTGCTGTCCTTCTTGCCCATTGTACTCCACTGGCAGAGACCATAATGACCACCAGTTAAGAGATTAAGAAGAGGGCTGTTCATTCCTTTTTTTTTTCTTTTTTTGAGATAGAATTTCACTCTTGTTGCCCAGGCTGGAGTGCAATGGTGTAATCTTGGCTTACCACAACCTCTGCCTCCCGGGTTTCTCCTGCCTCAGCCTCCCAAGTAGCTGGGATTACAGGCATGTGCCACCACACCCAACTAATTTTGTATTTTTTTTTTTTTGGTAGAGATGGGGTTTCCGCATGTTGGTCAGACTGGTCTTGAACTCCTGACCTCAGGTGATCCCCCTGTCTGGGCCTCCCAAAAGACTGTTCATTTCTATAGCCCCAGTCTCTAATATAGCATCTGACACATGGAAGGTGCTCACTGATGAAAGAGTAAGTGGGACAACTCACTATAAATGGCAGTGGGGCCCATTGCTGGAAATATCCCCAGAGAGACTAGCATTGAGGCCCCTAACCATTCCAAATAACGTTTAAGAATTATAATATGGAGGCTGGGCACGGTGGCTCAAGCCTGTAATCCCAGCACTTTGGGAGGCCGAGACGGGCGGATTACGAGGTCAGGAGATCAAGACCATCCTGGCTAACACAGTGAAACCCCGTCTCTACTAAAAAATACAAAAAACTAGCCAGGCGAGGTAGCGGGCGCCTGTAGTCCCAGCTACTCAGGAGGCTGAGGCAGGAGAATGGCATAAACCCGGGAGGCGGAGCTTGCAGTGAGCTGAGATCTGGCCACTGCACTCCAACCTGGGCAACAGAGCGAGACTCTGTCTCAAAAAAAAAAAAAAAGAATTATAATACAGAACTCTTTCTGTTCTAAGTTACAGTGAGGCCCCAATACGACAGATATTAGTATTAGTTATCTATTGCTACATAACAGATTACCTCAAAATTTAGTAGCTTAAAACAATAATAAACATTTATTATCTCATAGTTTCTTTTGGTCAGGAACTGGGGAGTGGCTTAGCTGGGTGTTCTGGCTTAGGGTTTCTCATGAGGTTGCAGTCAAGATGTCAAGTTGTGATGCACTCATCTGAAGGCTTGACTGGGGCTGTATATTGTGCTTCTAAGATAGCACACTCACAAGGCTGGCAAGATGGTGCTGGCTATTGGCAGGAGGCCTCAGTTCCTTGCCACATTGACCTCTCCATAGACCTCCCTGCGTAGCTTCAGGACATGGCAGCTAACTTCTCCCAGAATGAGTGGTTCAAGAGAGAGCAGGGAGGAGGTCATAATGTCTCTCTTATGACTATATTAGATCCACATGGCTGCTGTAACCAAGTACCACAAGCAAGATGACTTAAAACAATAGAAATTTACTCTCACAATTCTGGAGGCCAGAAGTCTGAAACCACGCTGTCAGCAGGGTCAGAACAGTGGCACATGGAAGGTGCTCATTGGTGAAAGAATAAGTGGGAAAGAATAAATCATTCCTTGCCTCTTCCAGCTTCTGATGGCCGCAGATGTTTCTTGGCTTGTGGCTGTATCATTCCAATCTCTGTCTCCATCTTCACACGGCCTTCTCCCTTGTGTCTGTCTACTCTGTGTCTCTCTCTCCTTATGAGGATACCAGTCAGTGGATGTAGGGTCCACTCTAGTCAAGAACAACCCTTGCTGACAGCTGCGAAGACTAGTTCCAGAAAAGGTCACATTTATAGGCCCTAGGGGTTAGGGCTGCAACATATCTTCTGGGGGGACATCATGCAACACACAACAATGACCTAGCCTCAGAAGATGCATGCCATCAGCTCTGCAATAGCAAGTGGCTACAAGGGTCGGCCCTGTTAAGGGAGGGAGGAGACACAACCATGTGAATACCAGGAGGTGGTGACAATGAGGGGCCATCGTGGAAGCAGGCTACCACAATATCAGATAGCAAACTGAACGTGAGACAGACTCCCATATGTAGTATTTACAAAGGAAATAATGGGGAACCAGTTGCATAGCACTCAGGGCCCTCAGCCCACCAAGAATATAAAGAGTGTGGAGAATGGGGAGAGTTTGGGAATAGAAACTTCCAGAGAGGGCAAAGCTATGCTGTAAGCTACCCCACCGAGGAGCTGAAGGTACCACCTTCGACTCAAGCCCAGTGATGGAGGCTTCCATGCAGCCACTTGGACCTGTGGGCCCCCATGGGACTGTGCCAGGAGGGACTGCATTGGGATGAGTGAAGGGGCTGTGTGAGTTATTCCCATGGGCCAGATGTGGATCAGACTGGACCATGGCAGGAGAGAGGGCCAAGGTTGGGGGGTCATTTTAAGTCCTGTAGGGCCTCCCAGAAGGGCAAAGGGATGTCAGCAGGAAGAAGTTGCAAGAGGATGCTGGATTTCTGGGGGTTGAAGACGGAGTCATAGCCGTACCTGAAATGGAGGTGTAGAACAGGGAACTTCAGGAGAGAACCTCAGAGATGGGAATTTTTTTTTCTTTTCTTTTTTTTTTTAGACAGGATTTCTTGCTCTGTTGCCCAAGCTGGAGTCCAGTGGCGCATTCTTGGCTCACTGCAACCTCTGCCTCCTGGGTTCAAGTGATCCTCCTGTCTCTGCCTCTCAGGGACTACAGGTGTGCACCACCACGCCCAGCTAATTTTTGTATTTTTGGTAGAGACGGGGTTTCGCCATATTGTTCAGGCTGGTCTAGAACTCCTGGGCTCCAGTGATCTGCCTGCCTCCGCCTTCCAAAGTGCTGGGATTACAGGCATGAGCCACTGCACCTGGCTGAGATGGGAACTTCTGAAGAACACGGGGAACCCTCCAGAAAGACCTTTCACCATCTGCCACACCCAGAGAGCTGGCAATCATACAGTCAAGTAAAAACGGCCCTATTCCCCTGCTCCCCATCTGCTTCCCTGCATCCTCACCCATCACCTCCACTTAGACTCTGAAAGCAACCAGCAAGTGGGGAGAGGGGTATTCAGGAGAGAATAGACAAAAGCTCACCATGCCCAGTCCCTGGCAGCTGGCAGCCCCCAACTAAGGCCTTAACTAGGGCAGGAGGAAGATTTCTCTTTGAAGAAAAATGCAAGTGTCATTTAATATCTTTGACTGGCTACTTTAAATCTCTAAGTCGATATTGGATTTTGTGACATAAAACGCACATACCTAAGCATGACCAGAAGAGCCTCGGGGTCAGCTGAGCTTTCAGCCAGGGGAACGGGAAGTGCTTCCCTTGCTTTCGCTCAAATGCACAGTGAGAGCCAAAGCAAACTGAGTTGCATGTTGGTTCCATCCCACATTCAAGGGATTGGTTTCACTGAACTAAGTCCAAGGATTGGTTTCACCGAACCCCCGCCTCCACGGGGAACTGGGCCTTATATTTCTTAACCCCCCACCCTCTGCCTCCCCGCCATGGCAGAGCCTTGACCCAGAGGGAGGTTCTTGAAGAAAATCCCTTCTCGGCTTTTGTGCAGAATTGAAGAATGTTTACTATGTTTTCCTTCCTATCTCTCTGGAAATGACACAAAGAATAACAACAACAAAATAGAACTCCTTGTCCCGCGCAAAACACCCCTGCCCCCGCCACCCACCCTCCGAACTCTTCACCCTGTGTTGGCCTGACTTCACCCTGGGATGGGGAAACTTCCTGGGAGGATATAGCTGACCTGGGAACAAAACTTGTTTTTTTGAAAGCTTTGCGCAACATCAACTGAGTGGGGGAGGGGTCTGGGCAAGGAAAGAAGAAAGTGAAAGGGGGCACAGTGGGAGCAGTTCTGCTAAACCAAACAGTTCCCCAGGGATGATGGAGCTGTGGTGATCTGATAAGTCCTTTAAATGTCTTATTAATTACTGGGGGAAAATAATTACTGAGTCTCCCCTTTCTCACTGTCCTTGTACAAGCTTGGTACTAGCTCTGTCCTTTTTTAAGAGTCAGGCTTGGGTCAGGCATAGTGGCTCACTCCTGTAATCCCAGCACTTTGGGAGGCTAAGGCAGGAGGATCGCTTGAGGCCAGGAGCTTGAGACCAGCCTGGGCAGCATAGTGAGACCTCATCCCTACAAATAGTTTTAAAAAATTAGCTTGGAGTGTTGTTGTGCGTCCGTGGTCCTTGCTACTCAGGAGGCTGAGGCAGGAGGATTACTTAAGCCCAGGCAGTGGAGGCTGCAGTGAGCTGTGATTGCACTATTTATTGCACTCCAGCCTGGGTGATAGAGCAAGACTCTATCTCAAAAAATAAAAATAAAAAAGAGTCCGGCTTTGTAAAGAAGGGTGCCCCTTGGTAGAAGGAACCAGGACAAGGCAGGAGCTGGGGCTGTGGAGAGTCCGGGGTCTGTGGAGCATGGGGCTGTGATCAGAGACCCACTAGGCAGGTTCCAGCTCCTAGCAAGGACCCGGCTGAGCAGAGGTGAGGGTGTGGAGGTGAACCTGGAAAACATGCAGAGGATTCTAGACACATTCCACAGTCAGAGCCTCTGGAAAGCCCACCTTCTCCATCACAAAGGCTTTGGGGAATAGACATCCTGATTCTCTGTATTATTATAGCACAAAGCATTTATCATGCTGACAATGACAGTGACATTTCAGGACCTAAACAAGCTTAGTTGTTCACAGCCTATAGGACAGAAGACTCCTAACACTCTTTATTTTATTTACTATTTATTTATTTATTTATTTATTTATTTATTTATTTATTGAGACAGAGTCTTGCTCTGTCATCCAGGTTAGAGTGCAATGCATCTCAGCTCATTGCAACTTCCACCTCCCAGGTTCAAGCAATTCTCCTGCCTCAGTCTCCCGAGTAGCTGGGACTACAGGTGTGAGCTACCACAGCCCGTTTTTTTTGTTGTTGTATTTTTAGTAGACAGGGTTTCTCCACATTGGCCAGGCTGGTCTCAAACTCCTGACCTTAGACGATCTGCCTGCCACGTGATTAGGTCATGAGGGCTCTCCCTTCATGAATGGGATTAAGACTTTTATAAAAGAGGCCTGAAGGAGCTTGTTGACCCTTTCTGCCATACCAGGACACAGAGAAGGCGCCATCTATGAGGAATGAGCCCTTACCAGACACTGAATCTGCTGGCGCCTTGACTTTGGACTTTCCAGTCTCCAGAACTGTGAATGATAAATTTCCACTGTTTATAAATTACCCAGTCTAAGGTATTTTGTTACGGCAGCCAAAACAATCTACAGAGCACTAATGACATTTTGGGCTGGATTATTCTTCGTTGCGGGGGCTGCCCTGTACATTGTAGGATATTTTGGACTATCCCTGGCCTCTATCCACAAGATGCCAGTAGCACTTCCCCCAACCCCATGACAATCAAAACTGTCTCTAGATATTGCTAACTGTCCCTTGGGGGCAAAATCACCCCTGGTTGAGAATCACCGCCAAGTAGCAGTCCCCATTTGTGACCAGACAGCTAAGGATATCCAGGGTAGTGCTGGGCCACACAGATGCTAAGGGAATTTATACTTCAGGAAAAAAAAAAGAAAAAAAAAAGCCAAGTCTATGTGGCCTTCGCATCAGTTACTACTCTCTTGGTTGCACTAAGTGACAGAAAATTCATCTCTAAATGACTTTAAATTGGGATGCTGTTTCATATAACTGAGCAGACCAGGAATTAGGCATTGTGCTGGTTCAGGCCAAGCTTGATCCAGGGATTCAAACAATATCACCAGGACTTGGCTTTATCTTTGCCCCCCGATGCTGCTCTTCTCCATAGCGTTTTCTTGTTTTTTTTGAGACTCTGTCTCAAAAAAATAAATAAATAAAAATAAAAAATAAACAAATTAATTTAAAAGTAATATGTTGCAAAATTCATAGATCCTTGTGAAGTATAGTGATTTATCACTGAAGATTTAGAATAATGGTAAAGAAGAGCTCCTTATGTATTTACTTGTTTATTGTGTAATCAATGCACACCAATATTTTTTCTAGCTGTCTGGCATCATTTCCTCCTATTTCGATCCAGTAACTATCTCTTCATAACTTCATATCTCCCACCATGAGAAAACAATAGCAACACATCCTTGTGTTGGCTAAATACAGGACAAATAATATTATTCTTTTAAGAACACCATGCCAATGTTCTATTACAGCCTTTACTTGCCTTTGTTGCATGCTATCATGGAATGTTTATTGAAGCTTTCTCTCCATTCTAGAAATTGCAGGTCATGTGGAAGTGATGTTTCGTGTTCTTTTAACAGAGATCCTGTGTTTCTGGTCCCAGATACCCTCTATGGCCAAAGCTAATGTTGAAACAGGGATGTTTAAACAAATAGCAGTGGTAACAAAACATTTTGGTTTTAAACTAAGAATATACTTAGACCACAAAAGCAAGTTTTTACAGGTTTTTTGTTGGTTTGTTGTTGTTGTTGTTGTTGTTGCTGTTTTGAGAGGAAGTCTTGCTCTGTCGACCAGGCTGGAGTGCAGTGGTGCGATCTCAGCTCGCTGCAACCTCTGCCTCCCGGGTTCAAGCTATTCTCCTACCTCAGCCTCCTGAGTAGCTGGGATTACAGGCATGTGGCACCACGCCTGGCTAATTTTTGTATTTTCAGTAGAGATGGGGTTTCACCATGTTGGTCAGGCTGGTCTCGAACTCCTGACCTCGTGATCTGCCTGCCTTGGCCTCCCAAAGTGCTGGGATTACAGGCGTGAGCCACCGCGCCTGGCGGGAAAGGGACTTTCTCAGGAGATTCCAACTTGTAAGTGGCAGGGCCTGGATTCAACTAAGACCTTTAAAGCCACATCCTGAGCTCTGTCCACCATACTGTGAAGTCTACTTTTAGGGCAATCCCATTTCTATCTTTGTCTTTCGCATTATCTGGATTGAAAGAGTTTAATTTCTGTGTGTTTATTTTGGAGTAGGGTGCAGTGGATGTTTCTTAGAGCCTACAGAGAAAATTCTTGTATAGCAAGAAGTGTATTTGACAAAGCACTGTTAAATTTTGGACTACAACCATTGCAGATTTCTCCCAGGATTGCATTCTCACAGATTGCCAATGACATGGGAGCTTTCATGCATTATGTTTCTTATGCAAATAAGTTGACTTCCTTTTCAGGTTATACGAGAAATCCCCACTATTCCTGGGTTTTATGAATTATGGGACGGAGCATACAAAACATCACCAACCTTCTCACTTCTGTCCACCCAAGTATTTGTAAGTATTCGCAACAATTGACATACTTTTGCTATTTTGAATTGAAGAGGGTTTTGAGTTTTATTTGTTTGGTTTTGTGGAAGTTGTTTTGTTTGGGTTCAGAGCTCTCTGGGGAGAAAGATAAGGGTACTGGAAGGTATTGATGAGCTATTATCTTCTATGATGGCTTGAGAGGCTCATTTCCAGCCCCAGGGAGGGAAGCATGAAGGGCGATAAATGGAAAGAGGAGTAACTGTGTGAGGCTTTGTGCAATTAAAGATATATGCAACTTTGCTTCACAACGCACTTAACAAAGTGCAGCCAGTCTGTGAGAGGTCCCTGCTGCCCTATCCCACCCTCCACTTTGGTGACTTGCTGGCTTAGAGTGGCCTCAGGAGAGAAGGGAGAGAATGCTGCTCCCAGCAGGGCAACAGGAGTGACCACTACAAGAACAATGTTCTTATGGAGGCCACAGACACTGATGAGGTACCCCCCTGTTTAAGGAGCTTGTGAATAGCAGACCATGAATGGGGAGGCTGAAGTGGAAAAACATAGCGGGTTTGCCTATGAACCTATAGGAGATACTTTGGGGGTCTCCCAGAAATAACTGAGGGTGAGTTAGCAGGGCAAGGGATGACTAGCAAGTTCTATAGACCTTCAGTAGGAGACCAGAGCTAATTAAATTTAGGTCTGGATGTCAATATGACCTCTTTGGTTAATATGACCCATAGGCTGGTAAAAATCTCGTACGGGATGTTGTGAGACCCTGTACTTTATTCCTGTCTTTTATATGTCATTTAACTTCAAAAATTCTGTCTTCAGTGAAGATACCATGAGAAATGCTTACAACGCAGACTCTTTCCAAGTGCAGTTATCTGGGGCAGGCTGCCCGACTAGCTGATTGCCCTGCCTACCTCCCTGCTTCTAGGGAAGGCCTAGTAGAAGGAATCTCTTAGAAACTGTTCCCAGTGCAGCAGCTAGAAAAGTCTAGCTGCAGGGTTTTGGGGTGACAGGAAAATAGTTTCTTTTCTGTGTTAGGGTAGTGAGCCAGATATGACTTGCTAAAAAACCTCTGAGTGACTAGGGTATTAGACACAGATTTTCGCTATTTTAACTGAAGTTGAAATGAGAGGAAATATGGTGTAAACTGCAGCATAAAGGATTTAGATTCAAGCAATAAAAGATTTCCCAACATCAAAAGGCAACAGATCTCTGCTCTGGGCCCATCATTAATTTTTATTTATTATTATTTATTTTTAGAGATGAGGTCTTGCTATGTTGCCCAGTCTGGTCTCAGACTACAGCCATTCACCATTGCACCCAGGTTTTCTTTCCCTCCCTCCCTCCCTCCCTCCCTCCCTTCCTTCCTTCCTTCCTTCTTTCCCTCCCTCCC